CCCGCAGCGAACGCCGGATCCCTCCCCGCGCCGCGGAGCCCTGCCGCCAGCAGAGACTCTGGCCATACCTTTTTCGGCCTCAATTGCCTCTACAGTGGCTGTACAGAAGTGAGCAGATGCATGCAAAATGAATGAGAAAGATGAAGAGTGTAATATCGCACAGCAGAAAAGGCAATGATCAATTTCATACCGTATGCTACGCCAGGTTAGGTTACCGTTAGTTAAAAGGACAATTACGGGTTGGGGGGTTGGTTTTAAGTGAAAATTCTCCTACATTTTAACTAACACAACTTACCAACTACGAGTATATCACAGAAACACTAACAAACTGATGTTATGAACTGCACATTTCTATACGGTTTGGGGTCTTGTTGGGTTTTTCTTTTTAAGACCGCAACAGAAAATTTCAACTGATGTTAAAGTTGTGCTATGGTTTAAAAAAAAAACAACCTAAAAATCTATTTAAGACTATATTTCTGAAGATTAGAATGCATTAGTGAGCTTCATTAAGCTACCAGGAAGGACGCTGGAAACGTAACACTAGCCATGTTCTAATAATACAGAATCATTTTTCTCGTTATGTTTAGCTCCCTGAAGTTTAACTAGTACTTCCATTTTTCATAAGCTCAAACAGGTATCCCCACGAACTGAGCCATGAAGTTTAAACCACAAAAGACAGATCTAGCAAGTCGCATTTACAACGTCTCACAAACTCCTGAATTGACACCAAAGTCTACGGCAGGAAGAGGTCTGGATTTAACAGTCTTGGTGTGTGAATCAATGTGAATATGAAAAAAATCTAGCTTGCTAGTTGTTTTTTGAACTAAATAACCCTGAGATCTGCTGGAATTTCTGAGGTGCGAGAGCCTTCCCAATCGTTTTATCTTTCGAAGTCAAAGCTTTCACATACGGTTACTGGAGATCAGACTCAAAAGCACCTTCCACGAGGGCAGACGTGCTGCAGAAACCTCTCTGGACCCGCGACCCCAGCTGTAGCCAAGGTTCAATACTGGTAACAACCTCTGACCTCCCCCAATACGCACCATGCCTCCAACACCGTCATTTCAGAAATACTAACAAAAACCAGCACACACGGTGCTAAACCTCCTTGTGCGGTGCCTCATACGTACTGTGAGCAACAAAAATCGCCACAGAGCGTTCAAGCTAATGCTGGGGAAACTAGCTACGTCAAAAATATGGCCTTCCATCAGGAGAGAATCCCTTAAAGCCAATGAAGTTTCTTACTTCTCATTTGTATCTAACAGAAACCAGGCACAACAACTCCTTTCCCTACTCTGTGTTGTTACGTATCAGTTGGCTACACTATGCCTTAACCTCACTCTCGCATAATATGATAATTTCCACTGAGATACTCTAAAAGAATAAATGGAATTAGACACTTTCATTAAGTGCTACTAAAGTAATGTGGAATAGTTAGCGGTAACGCAGGGCAGCATTTTGCCTTTTACATAGTGCACATTCCATGGTTCCAAAAAATAAAATTATTTCCTGCACTTCAATCTACAGAGACAGGGGCAGCCCCGGAACTGAATCAAAAAGTCACTGGAATGGGCAGTTATTCATGTTTACATTAAGGGAAAGAAACTTTCTCAAACTGTAAAAATTGAAGAATTATTTTAGAAAGTCATCAAATACACACGTTCATACTAGAACCAATTTGCCACACACATACAGAACTATGTAGAAAAGCCACCTCTTTCCACCATCTCCTGTTACCTGCGAAGTCTTTGTTTTCAATCTTTTCCTGAAAAGATCACGAATACTGATTTATCTCTGTAAATTATGGAGCTTGGTCATACATACACAAAATTTACTCCTAGTTCATTCTACTTGTGCTACTGCTAGCCCAAAGAGATCTTGGAATATACATCATAGTTAAGAAAAAGAGAATTTTCAACTTGACGTAAAAGACCAAACTGACTGGAAAATGCGAGCACTTAAACAAAGCACACTGCGAAGACTCAATTTGGAAAATAATTTCGTTGGATTCTCTTTTGCAGGTACCTCTGACTTGGAGCGATACTCTTCGTAAGCCCTGATAAACCTCCGACAAACACCGAAAAACTGTCCCCCACCGGTCCAAAACGGCCGATCCTGGAGTCTCTGCTCCGAAAACTCTCGACTGGAGAGGTAATTTCAGGCCACAGGGCTCAACGGCATCTGCATCCTTGACTCCAGCCCTCGCCCTGCTTTACAAACCTGGTACAAAACCTAGTACAAAGGCCTTGCCGCTTCCAAGGGAAAGCCAGCGCGGGCAGCGAGGAGCATCCCACATGTCTGGCTAGTGCGGCTGAGCGCCCTGGAAACACACGCAGTTTTTAGTCTCGGCCTGTCTTTGGTACGTTGCTGGGTAAGGCTTCAGGTGTTTGGGGATTTTTTAACAGATGCTGACTCGATTTGAAACATAATTTTGTTGGAGCCAGTTCTCGGAAGAAGTTACCAGGAAATGCTGCTTTAAAGAACAGTACTTCACCTGGTCTTTAATATCTCGGCTACTGTAATGCAAGCAACATAAATAATAAAAACCACAAATCTACATTAAAAAGAATTTAGAAACATGCAAAGCCCACAATTTCCCAAAGTCTATTTTTATCCTAGTACATTAAAGCTATCTAAAAATAACCTATGATTTGTTTTTTAAAAATATATCCATATATTTCTGGGGGAAAAAAAGAAAAATCCTATATTGACTTCTTCCCATAGGATGTAGTTTTGCAATTTTTTCCAAAATGATCTTTTTTAATTGACTTGTCTATGTTTCACCCTTCCACTACAGTCCCCATTTGTATTTTGCCCTCGGAGCGCTCTGCTCTGCGGTCAGAATCGGCCCAAGCACAAAGTCGTTGTATCGGACTGGCCAAGGGGCCAGGGCCCTGCTCTGCATCCGGGCATCACCGCCGAGCCTCTGCCCCCCGAGCAGGAGCGGTGCACGGCCGGGCAGACTCCTCAAACCGCCCTGCCGCTCGCCGAGACCTGGCACGGAACTGTAACGGCCGTATCCCCAGAAACTGCAGATGCGTTGCCGTGATGGTGGCTTCCCTAGAGACAGCTACGGATATATGTGACCTGATACAAAAATTCCAGCCCAGCTCTCTAGAGAAACGTGACACACACTCCGGTTTCTCACAGCTTTCAAAGCTTCTTACGGATTTAACCGCAACCAGCGGAACTAGACCTCTTCTCAGCGTGCCACTGGACAACGAGCACTCGTAAGACTGCAGCATGGAAAACCCATGACATGCTGGTCAGCTGTGTGATTTTCCAAGCACATAAAAGAATATAATAAAAAAAGACAACAATTAATATTATATTCTTTTCTCAAATCTAGACTGGTTTAAGTCACTGATGGTATATTGATCAACACAGCACAATATACTTCAAAAAGTAATGAAAGGTTTGTGGGAAGAAATCCTACTGTACGATCAGTGACCATATTTTTGCCAAGAATATGAATTCACTGATGTGACGACGGTTTAGGAAACTGTCAGTCAGTAAGCGTTTTTTTTTTGTTTATTTCTAGCTTTGCAGTTGAGCAAATGATTTGAAGACTTCTACTTTTTGCAGACTGAAGCAATAAAATTCTGACCAGTGAAAAGAAGCCACTGCAACGTACGGAGCGCTACCGGTTGGCGTGAGTTATTCTGAACAATCAACATGACTGAAACAAATGAGGTATAATCATGTAGTGCATCAAGGAATATTGCCATCAAAAGTGCTAGCCGAGAAAAAAAAAAAATCACACCCACAAAAATCCAAAATGCATTTTGCATCCTTTCCAAACGTCCCACATTTTCAGTAACGGTAAGAAGTCATACATTTTATGTTAAAAAAATTTTCTAGTCAGTTTGATCCTCTCCGATATTTGTAATGCAGCTTGGCTAGAAATCTGTTAAATGAGGGAGAGGAATGCAGACTCATTTTTTTAAGCATAATAAAGTATCTTATTAAACAATGAAAATTAAAACTAGAACATACGCTTTTGGAATAGTCGGATGGATTGGGAAACACACACTATTTCTTGTACGGACATTCACAAAACAATCACATACATACACCGGACATATAAACGTACTTCCAGACATTATATGTCCACTGAAAAAGGACTCAAAATGTGACAGTCACGTTTCAAAGCTACTAAAAAACAGCTTTGATAATTTAATAGAAAACGTAGTGAAAGGCTTTAAAAAAACCCTACATATGAAATTGTAAAAATTCAACAGCCTGAATCACAAAATGAGCAAAGCAGCTACTCTTGGAAAGCAGATTGTGCAAAAAGTGGTATTCACGTATCACAATCCTTCAACAGTCACAAAATTCAGCCATCCCACGCAACGGTTTTATGCTTTCTAGCAAAGCCTGAAGCCGGCCAGTAAAAAGTCTTTGCATAATTTATGTTAAGAGTGCTGCTGAGACGAAGTCCGGTTTCAGACTGGTGCGTTTTAGTTATCCACCACTGCGAACAGAAACCGGGACTTCATCCTTGTCATACAGATTTGGTACAATCTCCAGGCATTCTCCCTAAAGCTAGTTAATCACTTAGGGGCCTTGTGAAAAATACGATCCAGGGATTCGGCAAACTAAAAAAACAAAAAGACGAAAAACCTTTTACAAAATACTCAATGAGCCAGATTACAGGTGTATTTTGTATAGAGTTCTTTTTATTTTCATGCAAAAAAATATATGCACACTTAGTAACACCCTTTTATTTTGATTTATTTACAAGCTTTCAATTCAATCCCTTTATTCTCAACTGATTTTGTAACAATGACTGAGTCGCTTTCAAGTACATTCTTGTTCAAAATGCACAGACAATGTGCAACAGCAAATGCAGCAAACCTCCAAAAAGAAGGTGCTGCACCACTGCTTCTACATCACGAGACAGACGAGTGCCTGGGGTAGTGGTTTAATTGGCACATTTATACAGACATACAGCTATACCTAGAGAGAGACAGACAGATCTACGAAAGCAGCTACATCTGCAGAGGAAGGAAACAGCATGTTACAAGGACAATTTGGGGAGGTCAATTATACATAGGACGTTTGACAAACAACATAGAGAACAAACTTTGGCATTAATTACCAGGGTACAAAACGCAGCACACGTCAGTCGATCAATGGAGTGTCATATGGAACTCTGCAGCCTGTAGCTGTTTGTTAACGTTAATATCAACGGGCGTTTGTCAATGAAAACGCTAACACACCGACAGTAAAACCATTTTCATGGAAAGCAGACAAGTGACGATGCAAAATTACATTGCCGTTTTTGTATCTGTAACGATCAAATGCCTCGGTGTCAGATCTGTAAGGTCACCCCACTTCGGGCATCTGCGCCACCTGAAAAACTGCAAACTAGGGAAGCTCAAAGTCTGAAAAACGCGGCCTGACACCGCTGAACTCGTTTGCTTTTAGTTTTATACCCTGGTTAAGTATCCATTTCACATTGCCCGATTAACACCTAACACTGGGCTTGTATCAGCCGCTGAGACAAGAACTGAAAAGCATCAGAAACTCCCTGCATGCATTATGTGTAGTGTTAGCGAAAGAGCGAGACGCGCCCCAGTCCATCTGAGGCACAGCAAGGTGCATAACATCATTACCACTTTGCAGGGTCTGCCGTCCTCCGGCCAGCACTCCGCTGGGCAGCATTCCCGTGGGAGTCAAACCCTTGAGTGTCAGCACGCTTTCGCTCTCCTCCCTGGTGCGAGAGAAAACAGTGAGAAACCCTCAGAGAGCCGCTCACCAGGGCCGGGATTAACGTCAGGGAAGGGAAGGGAGAGGGAGGGCCCGGTTTCACCGTGCTTTACGCGTGTCAAGACTGGATGTAAATGCAAATTCAAACACGCAGAAAGGGGAAAATATTTCTATTCCTTACCAGTCTGTCCTCTGCTTAGGAGTTATAAACACCAATTCCTTCGGAACCGAATTCTGAGTAATTATTCACATGCAGGCTCACTGGCTTTGAAATGAGCACCGAATACCTCATGAGGTACCCAACACATCTCGGTGCCACAGAACAACCCACAACTCTGTCCCAAGTGTCTGTGCTTCAGGAAATACCAGCTTTAAAAAATTATCCCCACCGGAACCATTATGGACTGTGGAAAATGGCACGTTTTGGGTAAAGGTGATCATGAAATCTCTAGATCTAGACAGGTACAAGAAAATGGCATTTTTTAAAAGCTGAAAACAAACCAGCAAAAAACCCAAAACAAAAACCCCTTAGTCCTGAATTTTCTGGTATGACAGGAATTTTCCGAGCCAGTCCCGACCTCTCCCATTACACCCTTGATTTCAGTATCTCCACTCTGGTATCGTCTTTTCAACGCTTGCAATTAATGGCTGGACAAGTAACTTGCAAACTAAAGATCATCGTGTTCTCTAATTTCTTGAAACATAGCTCAAAAATAACTTAAAAACACTCTTTAACCAAAAATACCAATATTAAATAATTACCAATATTAAATAATTAAAAATATCAATGGGGCGCATCAACACGCCCAACAAGATTCTGAGGCACAGTGCTCTCCCTGAAAAGCATCTGGCATCCATTACCCTGGAACAGAGGGGTGTTTTCCTAACGCACACCGTAAGAGGGATTTTAGGAATGCAGAAGTCATGCAAGTACCTGAGAACAGAGAAGACTCTTGCCATCTTGCCAATTGCACGAATTTTGTTTCTGATTATTTCTTTCCGTGCGGCAGCTGTACCTACTTTCAATGGAATAAGAGAGAGTCTCAAGCTCAGGAGTACAGACAGGGCCACCGTTTTACAGCGCATCGAATTCAACACAACCGTTTCAGTTCAGTCCTCTCTGCAGGAGGCCAGTACCCAAACACGTACGGGGACAGAGTTATGAAATCATGGCTTCAGGGTGCCACCAAAACCACCATCACCTCTGCGTCCACAAAACACACACACAGAAGTTTAGGGTGTTCGCAGTGATTTGCTAAAGCTAGCAAGCATCTAAATTACCGCCGCTGCAGTGTAATAGCTATCACAACTCATTTGCCTAAATTTTACACTTGAAATTCTTCACTGACATCTGTGTCTATCAAGGTGTAGGCATGCAGCCTGATACAGAAGCCAAAGAGATGTTAAAACCACAATACACGAAGATTTGTTGCCAATTCTTACACAGCTGTCTGAGAGAAAGCAGTGGTTTGTTTGCTTGGTTTCACGTCAGCCCCCCAAAACACACACCCACACAAACCCCACACAATGAAACGCCGAGAAACTGCAGTGTTACCTCCCTTACCAACTAATTCTATGTTCTGCATCATCTTCGGTTTGGGTTGTTTGCAGAAATTACAAATGCCAGAGACCTGGAGTAAACCCCAAGTATTCCACGGAGCAGAGAGACACCATTTGTGACAGATAAGTGAGGACAGAACCCTGAAAGGGGGCTCGTGACCGGGAAGGAGAGTCCCCTCTGCCCGCCGTGGCATTGCAAAACCAGCAGCTCTGTTCTCCAACGCCAGGCATGGCTGGCTTGGTTCAGCGTCTGAAGGTCAGCCTGCCCGCCGTCCTCCTCTCCCTCTGCCGACTCCTCAACTCCACTACAACAGTACAGGCAGATGAGAAGCCATCAAAACTAAAATCTTTACTTCCCCTGAGCCATTGGGGAAGGAGAGTACTAACCACACCAGGACACGAGTAACTCGGTCATACTTGGAATCCAACCACAGGGGACCAAAGTGAGCGAACTCAGACAGCTCTGGTCGGTATTCCAACCCTTTCACACATCTCCGGTCTTCAACCCGGAGAGAAATGTACTCATGATAAGGTTGCCAGGCTGGTTTGCAAGACTGCAGAAGAGAGGACCGCAGAGGAGAGCTGCATATCCACAACCTTGTCCACTCGCACGCGGGAAAGGCGGCTGCACAAGAAGCCTTTGCTCATCCCTGCTCACTCGGATTTGGCTCCATGGCAGGGCGCACACACCCTGGCACAGCAGAGTCACCCTCTGCAAGAACACAAGGCCTCTGTTGCGCGAGAGTGGGCAGGCTTCCCACCCCCAACACCAGACCCAACCAAATACGAAAGATAAGGCACGTGGAGGCAAACAGCAGCAACAAAATCACGCAAGAAGGAAAACGCACAGTAGTGACATCGAGAAAAGGGAGCAAGGGACAACACAATGGAAGCACCTCGGGGTATGACAAATATCCGCCAATCCATTTAAATGAAATGAAAAAGCCAGGAACTACCAAGCAAAGCTTTTTAGACACAGGAACAACTTTGATGATCTGCAGACACCAAGTTAAAAAAAAACAAAAGAAATCACAAAAACTAGAAGGCTCAGGAAAAACTTTGAATAGGATAGGCTGAAACATGCAGTTTTTACTGAAAATAGTTTATTTTAAATTTTAACTTTTCATTTTTAAAGTCTTAGAAGCTTTTGCTTTCTCTCTTTGAACGCTATTAAGGAATAGCTTGAGGATCTGGAATGAGCAGGAGACTTTCAGAGCTATTGGAAAGGCTAGGGCTAAACGAGGGGCCGTTAATCTCCCTACCAGTCCCTCCATTGGCCTCCTGCCTACACCCACCAGGGCGATGCTGCTGCAGAGCTGCACCGTGAAGGCTGAACAGGGCTCCGGCAGGGCTAACGCCCGTATCTCAACTCGGGAAGGTCTCCGTGCCTTGGTGTTCGTATGGTGGGTTTCCTTCGGTTGGCTGGTTGGTTGTTTCTCCCCAGACACGCTCCTTCACCGCCCAGCCCTCCAGAAGCAACACAGCCAAGCCAGAAGGCTGGACGCGTTACCCCAGGCTACAGCACTGCACCAGCGTGGCCACCAAATCCTGGTGAGAAGGCGGCATCTGCTTGCAGAAGAATGTCTTCATCACACCCTGAACTAGAGGAGGAATGGCAAAGCAGTCTCCCATTCTCCATTCCCCGTGCCTGCAGAAGGAACAAATTCTGAACCGTTCATACTACCATGCTCCAAAGAATTCGCGTCACCTTTGGAAACAGGTCTGTAATCTAATGCACTTCCAAGTATTAGGAATATTCTCTGGAAGCAACAGATTATAGAGAGAGCAAACTGATTATTAGGTAAGTAACGGTCAGAAGAATTTTTCTGCACGGAATTATCTAGTCTGGAATTTCCAAAAAACAGGTGATAGACCAGGAATTTAAATTAGTAGGCTTCTTTGTACATCTTGTATCCAGCCATCTTCAAAACTGCACAATCAAAAAGCACTTTTTTGACATCTCAGCTGAAGGAAACTAAAAGTACTATACAAACCAGGTTTTGGAACACTGTAGAAACACAATCCATGCACAATCTTAAAAAAAGCTCACGATAAAATTATTAAAGAGCAAGACAGACAACTGAAGGCTCCCTACACATGCGGGACCAAAGATACAATTTTAGAAATAGGTAAAGAATGAAATTCTACAAAAAAAGGAATGGAAGAAAGGAGGAAAAAAATGCATGCACAGAAAGACAGATGTCTTGGAATATGACTTCCGATAACAAAACACACAAGCCTTTACAAACATCCCATTAAAAGGGGAAATAATAATAAAACGCTACATCTGTCTCTCAACAGAAAGGTATTTTCTGCATTAACACTTCTACTGCCAGGTTCTGTGAAGTCATATTCCAAAACATTCCTACTCTGTCTGGTCTGTACCTTTTTTATTGCCATATATGAGTCGCTCTTCAGATGGAGAGTCCAGAAAAAAAGGAAGTGAACGATGAAGAAAAAGGTGAGTGAGACAAATAAAATAAAGATACTTAACTTGGCAGTGGTAATAAAGAAAGAATGGAGAAGAAATGTCAAAAAATAAAATGGAAAATTGCAACACTTAAAAATGCATCCATCGAACACGAAGTGGAATTTTTGAGTGTATTTTAAAATTTGACGATGAACAAGTGAAAGCTTGATAGTCAACAGTTAAAAAAAAAATCCATTCACATAGAAAAAGAGAGCGTAGACAGCACCTAGGTGGCATTAAGAGAGGCATCAAGCAAAGAAATTGTTAAAGGAGACAGAACAATAAAATAATTCGAATTAGGAAACTGCAACCATTGTACTAACGCCAGGGCACACGCAATCTACTGGTGCCTGCACTTCTGCTGGACAGCCTAAATCCTCGCCTCTTGGAATACCGCCAAACCCGACCCTGCAAATCTTGGGGTTAATTAGTTTATGCTCAATTTAGTAGGATTACTTGGATGGAAAACATAAATTAACTGTTTGCAGGATCACATTTGAGACTACTTCTACGTTTTCACATTTCTGTGCAACGATCTCAATGGCAGCGAAGTTCCCGTGGCTCCTACCCAACGCATTCCCACCCAGAGCAACACCCTGCTGCTGCTGAACTGGAACGCAGCAGCTATCAAACATCAAAAACAGGGTCACGTCTCCAATGTCCTTATAAATAATCCTTAGTGTTCCTCAAGGGCTGCTGAAACTTTCCTTCCTCCCCTCCATCATCAAACAATCCACCAGGTCGGTTCTGTTACTGGATGAAATGAGGCAGCCCGGAGAACCTTTTCGGTGTGGCACGAAGCACTACAGTGCAAGCCCAACAAAACAAAGGGTGGGACAAAGGTCTTCATGCTACCGTTGCTTCTTAATCGTCACGCTGCAAACACCTCCTTAGCAATCTACTGTATCATAATTTTCAAGCTAGAATGATGTTCTAATTCGTTACATAAATATGTATTATACAGTGTACACATAGAAATTCACCTTCTAACTTTTACACTTTCAACTCAAACACCATGACTTCAACTTGTACTCCGTACTTTTGGTATAGCACTATAAAAAATAAATCTGGCTTTCACCTATATCAACAATTTATTGAAGAGCAATTGTTATGAAATTTAAGATCATATAATAAATTTGTTCCAAATATTAGCAAAGTGAATGCCAAGAAATTCCAAGAATTATCCACAAAAAGTGTCAGTTTTAAACAGAAATCAGATATGAATATTTGCAAAGGATACCATTACTGCTTCTTGATCAGAAACACAAAACCACTTTTTCCTTCTCTGCCCCCCCTAATCATTAAAGAAAATTCTGAAGGCAATTTTCTTCAAATTCCAGGTAGTATTACACTAGTCTAAGTTAACTACCATTTCAAAAGTTATTACCATTAAAAAGATTTATGTATCTTAAAGTAACCCCTACCGTCAAATTGATCTTCTCCCTCTGTCATCAGTTCATCATCAGAGCAAATGCTCAAAACATTCACCAACATTTCTGTTACTGTATAGGAAAAAATAAATCTTAATTCATTCCCTGTAGAACTTTAAGTACTTCCATGCACACAAGACACAACTACTCGCCAACAACTATAGTGAATGAACTTCCCACATCTCAGCCATTGCTCAGTAATCTGGTTTCAAAAACGTGTGGTTTCCTTCATGTGCGCTGTCACAGAATTTAAAAAGCTCAGAAAAATAAGCAGCTAAAAATTGTACCACCCAACAATCAAAGTACACAGCAGAGCTTTATCTCCTGTCTTACAAGGAGTTCTTTTAGGTAAGAACTATCATCTTCTGCATTAGTATTTTCACATTAGGATAAGCTTTTGAATTCATTTTTATGCAAAATTTTCTTAAATATGAAAACATTTTGACTGCTTAAATTCAGGTTTAAAATGAGAAAGCTATTCTGTCCTGGCACCCGCAGGCATGTAGTAGAACCACTGAAGGAGAAAAATACGATGATATAAATATGGTGCAACCCACATGTCTTTTCAAGCCCCTCTTAAAAACGTTGACACAGTGGATACACAAACTTGTCTCAAAAAGCTTGTGTTTTGTTTCTCAGGAATCTCCCTATCCTGCCACTCAATCCTTCCCAGGTGTATCAGTCTCTTCTCTTAAAACTGCCAAACTTCTCCCCTCGAGTGTTCAGAGACCTGCTCCAGAAGCTCAGCCAGATGGTTCAAACCCCTGTGAATTCTGTCTGCATTTATTCACGACTAATTCCTACAATCCCTGTGTTATCTCCTATGGTGTCCTTCTCCCTTCCTGGGAAAGAGCTATTCTCTGCTTTAATGAAAAGAAACCAAACAAATTATTCTGATTTTGATCTGTTCAACGCAGATCAGATAACCCCGACACCGTATCCTTCAGCAAAAGCGGACGCGTGTTATTTGTCCAAAGGCAAGACAAGCTGCAAGGGCCGGGATTCCAGCACTCTTCAGCATACAGCGGGTCAACGAGCAACTCATCTACTTGGTGTCTCGTTACCAGCATAAGAAAAACAAAATAAACACTATTAACATTTTCAACAGCAAAGGGTTATCTACTGCATCGCCACCGAAGAGAGATAAACAAAAATCCTGTCAGATGTCAGGTCCCTGCGTTTAAAAATCAAACTGTTGCGTGGGTTAACCACACTAGAAAGGGTCCAAATTATTTCCTTGTAACTGCTCGTTAAAGGCAACATAAAGAAATCTAGAATCCTACGTTTACATGACTAAATATCTCATCTCAAGAATGCTTTTAAAAGAAATTTAAAGAGCTTTCCAGATCTCTTTTATAAAAAGAGCAGATCCAAACAGCCTCTAACCTCATTCATTGCCTTTCAACTGAAGGCTACCTGGAGCCCCGGTGTCCTAGATTCAGAATTATCACCTCTAGAGGGAAAAAAAATAAAAGAGGAGGATCTGTGCTAAATTATCCTTTTTACAAGAAAAATTGTAGCTGAAAAAGTTATCTTTAGTGAAGGTCAATCTGTTTTAACTACACAGAAAAGTTAAAACTTTACACATAGTTTACAGCTATATTTATGCAAGATTCATCACAAACATAACCACAGTATTTTGTAGGACTTGAACAATTTTCAGATTGACTTCAAATGCAGTTCAAAGGTCCTGCTTAACAATGCAGGTATAGACCTTCAATGGGAATTATCAGTTCTGTGAACACCTCTGCCTTGTTAGAGCAGTTTTAAATATCCTGACTGAAACAGGCGAAGAAAGCAACCAAACCCTGTAGAACAAGTTGTATTTTAGTCTATCCCTTCCCAGAAACGGCATTTTCACAGGCCAAAAACACCCTCCAAATCAGTTTAACAACTTTATATCAAATCTTCCTTCTAATTAAGCATCCAAGAAGTCTACCTGATAACGACAAATACAGATACCCATTTTCACAAAAATAATACAATTAATGTCCAATTTGTAAATATATTAAAAAAAATAATCTTCCCACTATCATCCTGGGAGAAATAGGAAAGAAATTCATCGATGTATAACTTTTGCCTACCTTTTTCTCCAACAAATGGCAAAGACCACGTGAAAACATCCATAAAATTTGGTAGCCAGTAAGGATGAGGAGAACAATTGAACTGACGAATATTCATCACATTGTTTTCATATTTTAATACAGCAGCTAAAATAAAATTCAGACATTTGGGAAAGAATGTTTAAAACTTGCGATTACCACAAAGAGAAGGTCACAGGGCTATTTTAGCTCTACTGTATACTACAGACAAAATAAGCCCAGAGATACTCCATCCTCTTTCCTTCACAGTATTTACAGGACAGATTTCCAATGGAGAACTCTGGATTTTATTTTGTTGCAGATGTTGCAGTTTCAGGTACTGTTGCATGCCAGTATACTTCCATACTATCCTATTACAGGTCTAGAACAAACAAAGATTTTAACAGCTCCTGAAAAGGTATAATTCCAGCAACTTTAACAAAATCCTAACTCAGACCAGCAGTAAGCTCAGATTCAGGTTTATTCGTCACACGTGTCTTCCCACATTTGTAAGCCTGGAGTAGGACCACAGAAATCCAGGAGATCAGGGAGAAGGTGAAGCACAGAGAAAGCAAGCAGAAAACCAGAAGCATTCTACAGCTCCGTAAGCGTCGGTTGCTTTTTTCCATTCTTAAGCTTACACTGCGCTGGGAATAGCTGATCTGAAAAAGGATTCTCACAATGCAATATCCACATGGATGGTGAAAAATGTAAAAAGCCAGCTGAAGCTATTTTTAATTCTCCTTTACTTTACAATCCGCTCACCCTTTCCTCCGTACAGTTAAGCGCCCTACGTAAGTGGTATAGGCTGGGGGGTGGCTCTCTGGAGGTGAGTTGGAGAAATGCAATTGTATTGAACAGAAAAGAGGTCTTGGCTTCAAAGGAACGCTATTTGAACATTCGGAGATCATTCATTCATCACATACTTGAAATGCCACACTTTAATGTCATACTTGAACTCTAGGAGGCTTTATTTTTAATTAAGTCTGCCGTTGAACTTTGTTCTCATCCATGAATAATATTAACTCACAGTTACGCTCTTCTCTGTAATTCTGACTTGTAAGTCTTTCTCTACACAATTAAGCGTGCTTCTCCTGTGCAACTTTATCGTAAGCAGAGAATGGACAAAAACTTTTTCCTCCTATTTTACACCTCCCTAACAACAACATTCCCCATAGCGATCCGTATTTAGATCAGTACTTGCTCCTTCTCGATTTCCCAGACATGGACATTACGGCCTGGTTCCACCACAGATCACACACCTTCCCTGTCTCGTTTTCTTCCCAGTGCCCACCTAGCTATAAGCACGGTGGGTTCTGGTTTTTTTCCACCGAAGTACCTACCACAACTCACCCTCCTGGAGTCCATCCGCATGCAAGTTCTTCTGTCCAGAATGAGACCCTCGGGTGCCGTGACACACAACCCAAACTACCTTCGCACAGGCTGCCGATCATCGCTGCCTCCCTTCCCTACTCAGTTCACACACTAAAGACAACCAGAGGAGTGGAAACACAGCGCAGGAAAGCCCAGCCTGGCTGCCAAACACCAGCTGATACATTCAGAGTACTAAACAGCAGCAACTCTTACGAAGGAAGCATTTGCCCACACTTGCGCTTCAAGGTACTCTTACAGGAGATTGTCACTTATGGTGTGTGCTCTTCTTCCTAATCTAACTTCTATTAATGGATTTTTTTTGTCCTTTAATTTCTTACCTGGCAAGAAACTGTTGCTATTAGATGACTTATCAAGTAAGACATTTTTATTATTACATACAGTTATTAATAACAAGTTCTTACCTTTATTATTGTAGACATCCAGGTAATTAGGTGCTGAAAAAATTGTTATTAATGATGGGAACCCTGTAGTTTGACTTTTCCTGTACATTCTATAACTGTAAAACCAAAGAGATTATTTTACATCTTACAGCAATACGCAATTAATTTTTATTTTACACTGTGAATAATTTCTCGAAGGACACAAAGTACTTACCCTGCATCTTGTGCTTCATGTGCTCTAATAATTGACAACAAATTATTATTTTGCAAAAATTCACAAACTGCTGGATAGCTGTGAAATGAAAACAACTATGAGTAAAAGAAAATCTCTTAAAATATGCAGCACTACAACATCAACTAGGGCACAGCATACTCTCACCTATAAAAGTACGAGCATCCTCTGACTGTATTGTGACTGAAGTGCTCTTGTGAATTCTCATTTCCAAAATCTTCTGAAGGATCTGACCACAACAAGTCACACATTGGTCCAAATGCTGGAGGCTCTTTGAATCTATCTAACTGTTTGAGAAAAGGCAACAGCAAAAAGACTCTTTGAATATTAAAGCAGTAAGTTTTACATATTTGTTAAACTACATATCCATCAACGTGTTTTCAGAAATAATCCCAACCACATCAAAGAAAAGTAGTTTCTGTATGTTCTTTCCTCTCCTCCTCACGAAACAAGGCAGAGCCATACCAAAAGAAACAAACCTGTTAAGAGCAATAAGATTTATCAGTTGTAAAAAGAAGGGAGATAAATTCCAGACTGATGGATATGTGTAATACAAGGTCAAGTTACGGACAAGGAACAAAATGGTCCTTTTCCACGCACATGCCACATCTACCAATCTGGAGACACTACCAGGAATTAGCAAAGAGAAACAGTACAGAAAACAGGCATGATAAAAGAAAAGCACAAATAATTAGCACTGACTAGAAGAGACTAAATAGATCATCCAATTAAAAAAATAAATCCCAACCACAAAAGAGAACTGGAACACCCGTCTCCACCATGGATGGCTAACAATGTAACGAAGAAGTGACTAGTTCAGCCGTCTTAGACTTCTTTCACACAAGCTCTACTTCTCAGCTACAGCCCTGGTGTAACAGGCCATACGCATGCTGGGATGCGTCTTTGTTTGCTTCTTTTCTTTTCTCTAGCTGCTTCTTCAGAGATTTCCACTGGGAAACACCTGCTTTAGCATCCTGCAGCTCTCCTAGGGACTACAGCGAAAAGGGGCAGGGATAAGGAGGACAGCGCGTTTGTTAACGTAGAAGGAGAATACCCTGCGTAAGTAACAGTCCATCTCTGACATCCCAGAAATGAAATCAGATATCCCAGATTCAAAGTAAAGTTTATTTGATCTTTATGTAGCTGGAGTTTGTTCACCAGATGATTTTATCCAAGAAATGTAGGAACAGTTCTTTGATGGACAGTGCACTCATCTCACTTTACCTCCCACACCAAAGAAGATGACTTTGATGGTACTAGAGGACACTTAACTCTTCATGACAGGTTCGAAGGGAGGTTTGGTGAGCACCTGGTGAATTTGGGTCTAACGGTCCATAGGAATCCATTCAAATATGGAACCAGCAGTAGTGCCAAGCTCTCTCATGCCCTGGAAAATCAGAGCTCCCGAGGCTGCCACCTGTAACATAAGTGGAGAGGTCCAGATCTTTACCAGTTCCTGCCAGATAATGGCAAGGCAGGTATTGACTGAAGTAGTTGTTGGAATTTATTCAGTATTAAAGATCCAGCGATTTAACGTTTCCCGCACTGGATGATAAACCCAGTATGGAATATTTCTCCCAGATTGAAGAAGTCAGTCCATCAACTTCTGCAAGTACCTGAATTTCCGTAGATGAAACCATCAAGTTTCTAAACCTCCAGCAATAAATCTGGGTCCAGAAGCTAACAGAAGCATTCACACAAGGAAGATTCAACTGTTGGCCAACTGATGGTTCCCTCAATACAGAAGGCTGAAAGTCTAGAAAGCATTTCTGAGGAATTTTCTTGAGTTACTCTTCAAGGATTTTCTTTAGGACTTCGTCCAAATGGATAGAGATGTTAAAAAAATCTGGGCTGCTGCAAGCAACGCACCTCTCCCCCAAACTGCTTTCTCACAGGACTGGAACAATAATGTCACCATTTCTTGAAGTAAGGAGGTCAGTTTATGAAAAATAAATATACTTACATAGACACCAAGTACGTGCCTCCTTCACTAGACAGTCTACCAACTGGCACGGTTCTCAAAACACCTCAAAATTCAAGGAAATGTCACAGCAAGCTACCCAACCCAGATTGCAAATATCAAATCACAGTAATCAGCTTAGGCGTTTCTCTCCATTGGGACAGCAACAAAGTTAACAAAGGACACAAGTTAATTCAAAACACTTGTTACTGATCAACCATTTCTGAATGTGTTGCAATTACGGCAAAACAGAACCTCCATACAAATTAATTTACATATTTCTAAATACGACTAAGATAACTGAGAAAGACAATTTTATTCAAGAATAAGAGCCACTACACCTGGCGTTAAAACAGAAATAGGCAGTGTATTTTTTAATACGTACTGTAAGATATTTAAATCTAATTTAACTTCTAGCTATTATGCAGTCAGGGATACTAAACGGAAATGCATCGCACCTTCACGTGGATGTTTAAATTCAGGAACAGCAAAACCTTGGAGGTAGATTAAGGTACGGCCAATTAAAACTAGTTTACTTCTGAGGCAAAAGACCTTCACAGAAGTTTCACATACTTGAAGATACAGACACCAGTTTTAATTAAGCCGTCCTAATTTTCCTGAGAATTATCACATTAGTAAAGCCCTAAAAACAATGTGAAGGTCAGTGAAGAGTGGCAGTCATCTTATATATCACTAAAGACAAGAAAATTTCAGAAGCCCGCAGAAAGGAAGCGAGGTAATATAAAGACAGATTCCCAGCAGTGCCCCCATCTGTTTCAAAGCACTTTGCTGATCAAACCTAAGTATCACCAAGATCCAAACAAAAGAATGACCATCTGCTGTAAATGAAGAAGAAAATTCTTTGCCTCTCTCCTTTAAATTAAGAGTCCCCATAATCTTCTCTGGACAATTCCCTCCTTATAAATCACTAGGCTTAAAATCACGATTCCTGGAACTGTGTTTCAGCAGAAGTCTCTTGGCAGTGGAAATGAAAGCAATTAAACAGCATCTCTAAGCTGACGGGACATGTGTCTGAAAGAGACATTCTTTACCACCACCATCAGAACATTTCTGTAAACAGAGTTTGGAGAATAAAGTCAGATTACTGCAAGTTTCACAAACTTCCACTTTCCCAGAACTAAGAAGCACTCGCAGCAATCGTGCTGGGGAGGCTTTAATGTCATAGCCACTATGATAGCTGTCCTCTACTGCAAAGAAGTTTATGCCAGCAAAAACAATCACTTGATTTGTGGAGTTTAATCACCTTCCTGCACGTCAATGACACTGACAAAAGACGTCATCCAGAAGAATCTGCATCTGCACAGAAATTTTCTCTTTGTCTGAAGTGATTCACTGTTTGCAGAGCTGTGATTCCCCTTCTTATGCCAGATGATTATGCCTACCTACACATGTGCAGAGAAGACCTCTCCTTAACAAGAACTTCTGCTAATAAACCAGAAGGCTTGTAATATTATACATTCGTCTCGACTGTTTACAGAAATCATTTCACACACACTTGTGCCACAAGTATATGATATTTTCCTGGATACAAAAAGAGCATTTCACATCACCCATTTAATATAAATACATTTACAATATCAGTGCATGCCAAGCTCTAATGCAGCTATTGAAGCTGCTGCCAACCCATGAACAGCGCCTTTTCCAAGTTACCAGATGATTCCTTCAAAAACAAAAGGCCCAAAGAACAGCTCTAATAACACTGCCTTACATTTACCAACGTGGTTT